ACCGGTAATCGTTACATCCCTATTAGGTAAAAACAGTAGCTCTATATATAACGCTATAACGTAATCACAAAAAAAAATACTGTAAATATATTTTCAATTCAGAAACATACATTAGTCGAACCCTGTTTTTTTTATGTGTTATTTATAAGAAACCATATTACAGATGCGTTGTCAGATTTAAGTTGAACCGCGGTCCTAGCGCGTGCCGAACCGTGTGTGGAGAACCGTACGGTTCGATTTTTTTCCACAAACCGTTCCACCCCTACTCATGATTAATGACACAATAAACATGTTTCTTTTGCCATAGCACTGAAAGACAAAGAAAGTGCCATATGACCTACAGTAAGGCCATTAATGTTTTAGACATATAAAGAAACCCAAAAATGACAATTCTGTCATCATTTACTCATGTTGTTCCAAACCTTATTGCTTCATTGAATGCACAAAAGCAATGCTCCTCAGAAGAAATAAAGTCATACAGGTTTGGAATGACATAAAGGTGAGTAAATGATGACAGAGTGTTCATTTTTGGGTAAATGATCACAGTCCCTTTAACTGTGGAAAACCTAATAAGCTTTAAGCATCCCATCAAGTTGCCTGCCTACTGGCAACCATTGTACAATTCAGTACAATTCAATTCTGCCCAACCCTTTTGGCTACTTTTTCACTAAACAGGGCATGTCTTTCATCTTTCACAAGGCTGATCTTCCCCCTCCCTTTTTTTTTGTGATCTCATGGCTGAAGAGGATCTGCTACTAAAGCCCCAAACCCACAAAGCTATGTAGAGCTGGAGGGTGTGCCATCAAATAATGAGGACAGAAAGTGCCTATACAGCAGATTGCACACAGACACATCCTGAACAAAGATTCTGCAGTTCCAACAATACCCATCAAACTGAGTCATCTAAGAGGCATCAAGTCCGCAACCCAGCTTCTCATAAACATGACATAAAACGTATGTGATTATTCGATCTGTTTTGACTGCTATTACCTCAGTGATGCACCTTTATGGAGAATAGTAAGTTTGTTAAAGTTTAAAATGCTAAGTTGGAGGGTGAATTGTCTTGCTCAGCAATTATTAGCTGCTTAATGTGGCCATTCATATTGATCTCAGTTATGTTTCTGACAGGAAGTGTAACCTGAACACATTTACTGAAACACTGGCGTTTTTGCATTAGAGCCCAGGACACCTACAATTAGATGAGCAGGCATTTCTGTTAGTCAGGACCATGAAAGGATTTCGAGAAAGCAGATACCTTGTTGACTATGTTTCGTCTCTTTGCTTGGCCTCATGTTTCCCTCAAGGATATTCAGTACTGTGTTTCAATGCTGTGCACCAGACAAGTTCACAAGTCTCTGCCATAGAGTCTCTTCAAGTCGCTTGTCACAAGTTTAAGTGACATTTCCATTAAAACTAAAAACAAGTTATTAGAAATTGCTTGTGATGTTCCTTATTTGTAAGGCACTTTAGATTCAAGTGTTTTCTAAAGCATGGGTTTACAAACTGGGAAGTTCATCAAAAAATAGTAAGCCACTGAAACAAATTTGGCGTAAAAACTAATTTTCACTTAAAAATGGCTAATTTCACCAACAATTACAAAGAAACAGCAAATAACAAACTGAATTAAACATGTCTGAAATAGTATTTTCTTGTAAAACATACTCCTTAATCTTTGTTTTATTAACAACTTATGTTGTAAAGAAAGAAATGAATAATTTAGCTTTCTAAAGAATGGTCAGAAATTAATCAGTTATTTTACTCTATTGACAGCCATAGTTTTATGTTCCTCTTCAGTTTCATACATATAGGCCTAATTGTATCTCACAGTATGAATGCCTACTGGTCTAATTCAATTTTCAATAGCCTATAGTTTATAGTGTTATAGTTATAGTTTTTAGTGTAATTGAAAAATATATATAAATTATAGTTAGCACAAATTGCTCGTGACGTTTCTGATTTGTAAGTTACTTTGAATAAAAACATCTGCTACATGACTAAATGTAAATATACTGTAATCACTTACCAAGTCAAGATTCAAGTCGGTTTTTATGAGTCCAAGTCAAGTCTGAGAACAGTTTATTGACTGAAGTTGACTGATATATTTATAGTTTGTAAATATAACTGCAATGCTCACACAGCCCATCAATCGCCAACAGGGTTAATACACTGATCCAAAAATACCTAACAACTAGGCCTGGGCGATAAAACGGTATCGATATTTATCGACGGTACACCTTCTTCGATAACGATATAAAAAATGTTCGATATAGTGCACAATATAGGCATGTGCTAGTGACGCAGACAGCACACACAAACACGAACACATGCTGAATTGAGTGCTGTGCCTGTGATGAGGAGATTGTGAATAACGAATAACTTCTAACTGACGAAGACCTGATGGTCGAAACGTTGCCGCAATAAATTATTTTTATGGAGCAGTTATATCAGTGTGCGGACAATACGTTTGTATTTTTGCTAGAGATTGTGAATAAAAAATAATAATATTAGTCGAATTTAAAATAAACATTTGCATTTGAATGTTTGGAGTGCGAGTGAGCGTCATCAGTGGCGCACAAGATGCTGTGATAATGATGTAAGTGACGTTGTTGCATTTTAATGTTTTGTTAGTCTAGCCCTGTGTTATGCATTCACAATATTAGAGAAATATAGAAGCTCAATGCTGAGAAGATCTTGATTAGGTGTAAACCAAAACCAAGCTATTCACACAGAACGCATATTCAGCGCATTTTTACACGGACAAATATGACTGCTGCACTTGCGTCTCACACAAGAGATGTAGACAGCCATGCAAAGTTAAAACAGTTTAAAATTTAGAAAACATGTCACGAACTTGTGGAGGTTTATTCCCTTTCACTGTGTCTCATATGTTTTTTAATGCAGTCTGTGTGAATGGCGCTCTTGCTCTTTGTATTAAGCAATGCATAAATACATGATGCTGTTTTGTTCATAATTGTTTATGCAATTTACGAAATTATATTTGATTTATATGAGTTAATTTAGACGTAATGCACGTTTTTTATAGCCAGTCTTAATCGTTGATCAATTTTTTAGCTATATCGCCCAGCCCTACTAACAACCATTGGAATTTGGTGCTTGTTGGCACTGTGTGAACGAGCCTCAGACTTGAGTATCCATTTCTGCTGTGAACAGCCTGAAAACACCCACACAAGGTGTTGTATAGAGATGTCCCACTGAGAATAAGAGATTAGGGTCAGTTATTATTGGGGTCCTGTGTGTGGGCTGATTCTGTGGTTAATGACAGTAAATATAAAAGCACTTTATGGACAGGACACACAATGAACACTAACCAACCAAAGGTTTTTTGGCATATTAGCCACTGCTCAAGTTACTTCCTATCTCTTTCTCTCTCCAAACTATTGTGTTAAACAATGGGTTTGCTGCTAGTCTTGGTTGATGCAGTTCATCATTTTGATATAAAGGGTTTTCAACAGTTTCTTCGAACCTGTATAACCCTGACACTGCACCACCTCAAGAACGGGACATCTCTCCATCTGGGCCATGTAGAGATCTGGCCCAGCAGCTCTGGGTCTCTCAACCAAATCAGTTTTTATTGAAGCTGCACTGGCAGCGGCCATAAACATCCTGCTCAGTCCTGTAAAGCCCAGCTGTGAATTATTACTAGGGGTTGCTGGAACATGCCAAAACCGTTGCACCTTTTCCCACTATTTTTTGCTCTAGATATGTATGGAATAAGTAAAGAGGTTCGCTGTGAGATTAATATTCAATTGCGTTGCATCCAAATATGAAAATAATTCAAATGAATGTCTCTCTCTTTCTGGTGATGTACAACACCTGTAGCTGGCTGTTAGATACACAAATGCACAGAAGCACAGCAATACAACAGCAAGCCTGTGATGTTCATTTCATAATAATGCTCTAATAGCACCAGACTGATGATTAAAGAATTAACAGCTGGTATATTTAAGCTTTTAAGCTTTTTTGTACATTCTGAATCCTTGACCGTATTGATTAACACTTCAGGAAAGAACAAGGCTGCAATCTCAGAAGCTGTGTCTCTTCTATGGCTTTATTGATTTGAAGTGGAGCGAGGGGGAATGTAAGGGGAGGGTGTCTTGCATGTACTTTCATGTAATGCCCACATGTTCCTTATGGACCTACAGTATATGCATAATGAATCCAAACCTAATGCAAACAAAACCACAGACACTTGTTTTCTGATCAAAACCTATAGGGCTGCATCAAATGCTTTTCAAAAAGGTAGTTTTTTAAAACTTAATTATGATGCCTTCTAAGATATTCAGTTTATATGAGCAATATACAATGATACAAACGGTGAAATGGTTGTTGGAGTTCCGTTGGGACTCTGATTTCAACACTCTTATCAGCCAATCAGATTTGAGGACCAAAAAGAACTATTGTATATATATACAGTTGGCAGCGAGGCAACTCACTAGATTTTGGAACAGAGCTACTGCATGTCTGTCACCATGGAGATTTACTGCAGAACTTCCACAGTCAAGCACAACTTAGATTGAGAGATTCAGTCAGTGGTATCTTCAACACTAGCAGACCTCACAGTAGCTGAACAGGGAAGGAACAGCGCCATCTACAGGGCACGACTAAACCGTCGCCGTCAAGCAGCACTTGTTCTGTTAGTCCTCTATAGGAATTTTTTTTCTTTTCCAAGGACATCACTGAAACCTGTTCACTCAAATCTCTAAAATCCATTACAAAGCACGCTTTCATAAATGACTGATGCAGGCAGGCCATTCATAACATATGCCACCAGACATTTAAATTTAAATTCATTCATTCGGCAGACACTTTTATCCATAGCCAAATGAGCATATCTCAAGAACAAGGCAGGGAAAGAGGACATACACATATACCTAAGACATATTATGCACATTAAGCATACAGACAAAACAAAAAGCTGGCAAATGATTTGTACTCAGTGTGATAATTGTGAGGTGGAGATAAATTATCGTCAGACTTACCTGATATTATTGGAGCCAGACGAAAAATATCAGACAAACGGCTGTTTACTGGCTCATATGGTGAGTCCTCTAGCAAGTCGTTGGCTGGAAGATAAACACCAGCAAAGTACCAATAAGATAGTGTAGTAGAAATAGTAATTTAGCATGAAGAACCCAAACTGTTTACATGTATATTTCTTAGAACCAGCACTTTTGAACTTTTGATTTGGGTTATTAAAGCTCTGAATGATTTCTACTGCATTTCCAAGACTTAAAGTTGTCTACAAAGCGTGATAATTTCTCATATTGGATTCTGTTGATCCTGGATCTGCTCACCCTGTAAACTTTGGTATATACTCCAGAAGATGCGCAGACAGTTTTTCTCTTTCTTCATTCCTCTCCTACACTTGCAGTCGTACAGAGGACTTTGCTTCATGGACTCTATGGCGCTCCTGCACTCGTCCTGCGCCTCGGGTTCAGCCAGCATGCTGAAGTTACCGGCTCTCCCGGCCACGCACTGTCTCATGGTTCGGTACTTAGTGCTGCAGCCGTACTTCGCCAAACACTGTTCATGAGCCCTAACGCAGTCCAGCCGAACCGACCGAGACTGTGAGATCGCATCTGCCTTTGAGAAGTGCATTAAATCTGTGCAGGGAAAATACAAAGTTACAGATGTGAATGAATAAAACAGAATGTCTGGCACATTGTTACCACGATTTTCTAATGTTCATAATTAAGGTGATAGCACTTACCTAGTTACTTTAGTGGACCCAATTCAAACAAATAGAGACAACTTATAGGTATGATAAAAGACAAAACATTTAAAAATGTTTTTATTTCCTATTAATCCCTGAAATTTATAAAATGTATCAAGTAATGATTAGGACTGAGAATTAATAATAAATAATATTAACAATCATAAAAATAATAATTAAAAAACAGGCTATGTACGTTTCTGAATTACAGTAGGCTATTTGTCTATTGTAAGTTAGGTGTTACAGATGTAACGCGCAAACAAACACTAGAACACATGCATCGCAACTTACCAAGGACAGGCAACATTATCCAAAAAGTTGCGAATATCATCGTTGCTTTATTCAGATCCATTCAGAGAGCAGAGAAACTGGTTAAATACGATATATAACAATTCCCACAATAAATCCATTGCGCGCCTGCAGCGCACTGGTGAGGAACAAGTGATCAGACATCATATACACATCCGGACAGACTCCAACAAGCGCTCAGTGCTGCTCTGAGGGACACACCCCACGAGAACAGAATAAAAACCAATACTGAGAGTTCCGATATTGCGATAAAAACACTAATATCGCGACATTGGGTTATATTTAACCTTTTGATATCTCTTTATCATATCTTCAGCAATCGTTCAAAACATCGGTTTGTCTTAAAAATGTATATGAACACGAATAAAAGAAAATTCCAAAATTATTTAAAGTTCATATCAGTCCACATCAACTGTCAGCGGTGTGCTGTCGCGCGCTCAGTTGCCCGACAATATGCATGTACGGTCGAAGTACGCGCACTAAGTGTGAAGATACTGCGCATGTGCCTGGATCTCTGGAGAAGGTCGGCCCTTTTGGCTCAGTTGGACAGTGAATATTCGCTGATTAGGCACCATTAAGCACTTTACTTAATAAGACTTTTCCAAAGACTGTCCAAGCATAAATGGAATCCACTTTGCGATCCATAGCTATCTGACACTCTGTGCGAATTTTTCACTGTCGAAGTATTTTTTTATAAATTTTTTTTATTATTATTTGACTTATATGACGTTGTAAACGAAATACTACACATTTTGTGAGCGTTTTTTAATGTGTAAATCTATAATAACGTGATAAATAATATTTATGGTTTTTGTGCTGTTGTTTCCAGATTGACACTACTAGTTGAGGTTACCTCAGGTGAATGCGTCTGTTTACATTTACATTTAGTCATTTAGCAGACGCTTTTATCCAAAGCGACTTAAAAATGAGTTAAATGTTTAACACACTCTAACCAGTCTTAGCTTGTAATCTAAATTGTCTTCACTTAAGCTTCACGTATAATCAAAAAAAAACTTTTATGAACTTGTATTTCTTACTTGATTGTATGGACGAATTCAGAGCATGAGCGCCACCTGTTTACTGAAGAATAGTATGACAGTTGCCCTTTCAAATCAATGCAGTAGAAGCTTGAATACATTTTCACTGGTTATCAGTTGCATATAGAAAAAAAATAAGAACAAGAATCATATCTTATGTATAAAATGTATCAAAATGGACTAAATAACGAAATCACGTAACATACTGTAATGTATGAATCAAAACACATTCCCAGACATACATCTGCCATGTTGCCATTGTGTCTTCATGCAGTGTCTTGTACTCCCGTTTCTTTTATTTCTCTGATTGATCCATAAATGTTGATCCAATCATGTTTCCTTTGAGTATATCGTATACTGATTGCTCTTCACTTGTTAACAAGCTTCATTGCACTGAAATCAAACCAAGGTCAATGTCCTCCCTTAAATGAAAATTTCAGCAACATGAAGAATTAATTACACAAAACCAAAATCATTAGCTAGCAATTGCTTGACATGATAAACCGGTCAGACTAATAAGGTTGCATAGGCATACTGAACTTGATTAGAAACTCAATACATGATCAATACTCACCTTTAGGTTGTGTACGAAAGACTAACCATCTAGGAAATGAGGCCTGCTGGACTTATTGTCAGTTAATCAAAGACATTGCCGGATACCGATGGATAATGTGAATAACAGCATCACACAAATGACGCCCCATTGATCCAGCCATACTTTTGCAGACAATTAACTTTGTTTGAGAGCTGATGATAAATCCATCCGAAAGACAGAAAACATGTAGCTAAAACATTTCCTGAATGGATTTTGCTGACTCTAATTGATGATTCTTTTACATTCCATTGCATTAATTAATATATTACATTGACAAACTTGTGAGAATTATGAATTATGTATTTGTTAATGCTACACCCCAGCTTTGTAAATAATTGGGAACTAAAAGTAAATCCCCAGCAGAGCAAACAGAAAAATCCACTAACCTAAGTCTAACCTTTGGTTTTTTTGAAAGCCAATTCCTAATGTTCTACACTGAGACAAATTTGGTGTAGAAAGTTTCACTCAGAAATTGCTAGTAAATGTAAAAAATGATAATAATAATTACAAAGAAATGACAAGATGACATTTTAAAATAGAAAGACTTCTATGTGTAAACTATACTCCAGTAATCTTTGTTTTATCTACATTTATTTATTACAATTGTTCCAGTTTCACAATTGGAATGTTCTTTTAAAGATTCATTTTTAAAAACCATAAACTAATGTTCTCAGAACATTACTGGAAGGTTATGCACAACATACTCTAATGTTTATTTTTACTTTTTATTTTTTATAAACAAACATACCAAAAACATTCTAGCAACAAAAAATGTCAACTGGGTTTATATGAGAGATTACTGTAATATAAAATGATTTTGTAATGTAAGCATAGCGTAAGGTCTCTACATCAAGGTGCTTATTAAGATTTCAATGTATGTGCTCATGTGAAGAGCACAGGTTACATACATTTATACATTAGTTTTCATGCTAAAGTAAAAACACTTGATGTGTAGCTTGATCATTGATTGTAGTTATTTTATATGCGTGGATAGCAGAGGGCATGTTTGTTTGTGTATAAGCACTGTGCGTATGCTTTTGTGTATTCACATATAAAAACAGTCTCATCAAACAGAGTGCTGCAGCGCATCTCCATTTAGATAGTGTTAAAAGGAAAATCAATGAGAGATTTGTGGCAGGAAGTCTGTATATTCTCTGTGGCCTTTTCAGCCATTCAGAGGGGGAGAGGTTTGTTCTGTTTCTACCCCACAAATCTTAACCCTCATTGGTTTGAGAGGGTAAGAATAGGGATAGCTGTAAAACTCAACCCCCAAAATAATTCTTAAGAATGGCTCTCATTCATCACACTTAGAAACACACACACAGTATGAGGGTAAGCAATATTCTGGGGCAATCGATTGAGAGTAATTTGATCCATGTCGTCCGTACAGCTAATTGATTGCTCGTTGCAAAAGCTATATTGGTGTGTAAGCGCATCCGGTCCATGTAGATGCCATTACATGGTTGATCCTCATTATATATTAATTAGTAGAGAAAAGAAATGACATTAATTCTCCCCTTCAGATGGCAAATGTGTTCTGTAAGAACATTTGTCTTTGAACAGCTATAGGATGTAATTAAGTCACGTTTCAGGAACAGTAATTGCCAACTTTGATGGTTCCTTTTGATTACTTGATCAAAGAAAAGAAAATTGCCTCAGTTTCAGTCTGCCAGCTAATAGACTTCTTGAAGGCCTTTGGAAACTGCAGAGATCACTGTGGCGGGTTTGATTCAGAGCACACAGTTGATCAAAACAGACTGAAAATGACCAGAGAAGGAGCTACAGCGATGTTCAGAAAGTATAACCTCTTTTGAGTTTTTTTTTTTTTTTTGCATTTTGTTCCTGTTAATGAACATGTCTAATGATTAATGATCAGCTGACTTTCTCAGACCACATTGATAAAACTACCCGGTCCTGCAGATTTGCTTTATTAAACATCAGGAAGATGAGGCCCTTTCTTTCGGAACATGCTTCACAACTCCTTTTTCAAGCTCACTGGCTACAAATAAGCTGCTCACATAAAATTCAAGGCATTAACGTTTGCCTACAAAACCACCACTGGCTCTGCACCTCTTTACCTAAATTCATTACTTCAGACGTATGTGTCCTTTAGAAGCTTGCGTTCTGCAAGTGAACCTTGCTTAATTGTGCCATCCCAAAGAAGCACAAAATCACTTTCACAGACTTTTACATTAAATGTTCCCTCCTGGTGGAACGACCTGCCCAACTCAATCCGAGCAGCTGAGTCCTTAGCCATCTTCAAGAATCGGCTAAAAACACATCTCCTCATTTGTAAGTCACTTTGGATAAAAGCGTCTGCTAAATGTAAATGTAATGTAAATGTCTACACATTGAAACTACAGCTCCAAAATGTATTTACCAAACAGTGCAATGTTTCGACCAGTCAGGTATTCATTATAGGCAAAGTTCCTGTTCAAAAACCATTCAAATGATTTCTTGTTTAATAACATTCACCACATTTTATTCAAGCGTATTCCTCTACAAATTGAACACTGACCAAATTAAAGAACTAGACGTCTCATTTACAAACTCTGGGCATACTGACATTTCTCACAAGTGGCTTCCTTCAATTCACTCTCTTTAAGTGGGTGAGCAAGTGAAGTGCTGATGAGGTTGTTGATTTCTGGACAGATTTTCCCACTCATTTTGGCCTGCTGCTAATTTCTTTGACAATTGTCCCTCTTGTCGGCTTGCTCAATTTGATAGGATGTCCTGATCTTAGTAGTGTCTGGATTCCCCCCCACCCCAATAGATTTTACAGTGCTTAAGTATTGGCAGTATTTATTACTCAGGAAAAACATACTAAGCTGAAACTGAGGTGGGCTAACAGGTACATTTTTTGCATCCCCCAAATAGTATGTATTAGCAACTTTAAGTGACATATAAGGCCTAGTACTTTAAAAGTAGGCTACATATTAGTACATAAACTGTACATATTAGTATCTTTTGACAGTGACGGTGACCGTTTTGTACCTTTTTTTCCTGAGAGTGCAACTTTCATCTCCTAACAATTTCATCTCAAGTTCACATTCTGGCATTCATGACAGTAGAACAGATCTAATATGATTAATTAACACTTTAAATATGAAGTTTCAATTTGTTAGACTTTGCAACACAATGTGCCTTTCAGCAGGCACTGTATGTATTGCAAATGAACAAGCTTAATTGGATTGCTGTCTTCTCTTTTTCATTGAAGAAACAGCTGATACAAAACTAATGGAAGATGGCATATAATAGTGCCAGAAGCTGAAAATGTGCAGAAATCTATTTGTATTTCTGCTTACTTATCAGAACTAATTAACTACTGTATTACCCACAATCACAGTTTGATTAGGCTAAATTCCAACGTTTCCCACAGAAAATTGGAATCGCGCTCCCTCTAGTGGTTTAACATTACAACAACACAACATTGAGTGTGGACAAAAAATAAATATAAAAATAACTAATTAAAATAGGTAAATAAGTGTAAATCTATGAAATGATCTTACTGCTGTAGAATAAATACAACCCGGTCTATTCAAATAAATATGTAAATAAATAAATACAAATTCAAATAAAAATATTTTTATACAGTGGTGGGATGTTTAAACAGCTTGCCAGTAGATGG